CACCAGTGCAAAAATATATTCCGCGCGTGTCTTAAATCGATCGGCTGAACTGTTTACGTGTGAAGCAATTCACTTAAAACTGCTGACTTAACGCTCTTTCCAAGATGCTTCACAACAATCAAACACACTAGTGTTTAGGGTGTGGGGATACCCAAAACACTGAGACAGCGCCGCTTTTATTCAAATGTCTGTGACTCTTACTCTGGGTCTGGTTACACTGGCAGCAATTTGGACAACATATGACTTCAACGAGAAATTGTCCTTCCGTTGCAAGTATTGAAGCCACCTCATGTAGGGCGAGTGTCAACCAAAGGGCAAAAGATCAGCAGAAAAAAAATCATATCAAGGATCTTTAGCTGTCGGGACGGCAACGCCGAGGAAGATGTTGATTAAAAAGTGAATTGCTACTTTAAGTTAGAATTTCTGTCGTGAATGGTGTCATATGTTTACCGTCTTTTACGGCGCCACACCTCAACTTCAGCATAACCTATGTGAGTAGTGTTCGGTTTCAAAGGTAAATTTCATTAATATGCCGTCGCAGTTTCTGTTCGCGGACGATTTTTTTTTTTTACTTTTCACGTCGCTGTTTTGCCAGAGGACGGCTAAGAAATTTTCAAAGGTTTAGAACGCTCATCCTGAGCTATCGTTCTGACCATTAGATCTATTGTTTTGCCACGTCCTCATGCCACCGCTTTCGTAGTTTGCTAAAGGTCCCTTAAATTAACGAGGGTATCATTCATCTAACTTACCTTCTCAGTAGCGTGCAACTTAGAAGGAGATCGTAGTAGAGAGGATCGCTCCCCAACCCTGCTATCACAACGGCTGCAATGAATGAGCTTTGAGCTGAGCATAACTATATCGACTTCTAGTGACGATAAGATGATCTTTTAGTGCGTGTGATTTCCATTCAATAGAAAACCTCCTACATTTGTTTCTAAGATTAAACTGAGGCCGCAATGAAAATTGCCAGACTTTGACATGAGAGGTTTTTCAGTGTTATATTCTATTTATTCAATAATTGTTTTTAACGAATCATTTCCACATTACCCCATTGTATTTTGATTGAGGAGATTCTTCGCAGTAAAAATGAATGGCCAAGCTAAGAAAAAAAATCGGGATTAAGACACATTCCCAATACCTCTGATACTGGTAGCTTAACATAACCGCAGAAATTTGTTTAATAATGGTATTTACGACTGGGCTTCGTTAGAACTCTGAAAATTACTGCGATGTTGAGGTTACTCTTAACAGCTGCGGGTTGGCCGAATTTTTTTTTTTAAGTCCAAATCTTAAAAGCGCGCGAGTAATTGAGAAAATTGTTCTTTCGTGAAAACGTTAGTAAAGTATAAAGCGTCTCGATCACTATTAGACGTGAACTCTCTAGCGGCCTTTGCGCGGCAAACAGCTTCACCGGGAGATTCTATTTCAACTCAACTTTGTTTACATTCTCGTTAAAGTCCTTTATTTTTGGAAAGCATATGAGTTAATTTATCATTATGAACAAGAGAGGACTTTATCCCCTTATGTCATAAAACATGAAATAAGGAGAAGAATGCACTAGGCTAAATGCGAAAACAAAGCCAGGACTAAAAAAGTGTAAAACTTGTAAATTTCCTGATTAGAATAAACCTAGCTGAGAGTGAGAAGGGCTAGTCGAGTGGTTTGTCCATGTCAGGCGACTCTGTGCCTTGAGTGACTTTTCTTTCATTTTGATTGATGGAATGCCTCGTGGAAATGATGTGGCTCGCGGCGAATCTTCTGGCTGGCTCCCATTCATACCAGCAAGACAAGTTTAATTAATAGCGGGTTTCACTGGATGAAAATCAGAAATAAAGACAGATGATAGGTGTTTCATCTCACAGTTAAGAGATAGTGGATGGTATTTTCTTCAAAATCTCACAATACGCGGAATTTATGTACAGAGTAGACACTATAAGTTGCTTCCAAATGTTTGTGAACAAGTCTCCTAGCTAATTATGGTTTAAAGCGAGGCTGGTTCATATCAAAGGTGTCTAAGTACTTTTCTGAGGTGATCATTGGAATATTTTATGCTTTCTCCCGGGAGTAGGTGAGGGTTGGGGGGAGGGGAAAGACATTCCTTGATTCGCCCGAACGGGTCGGTGCCGTAACAATAGGGTGCGAATTTTTTATCTCGTGGTCTTAAGACTTACTAAAAGTAGGACTACAATTTCATTATTCAGAGTTTCTTAGTGTGGGGGTAGCTTTGATGGTTGACCTTTTTAAAAAAAATTCTTCGACTTTGATGTTTGACAGTTGACTTTAATTAGAATGACATTTCTTCTTTGAGTTAGGTTTAATTTGAAGTTTTCAATCAAACTATTTCGAATCACTTTTGTAGTTTACTGACAACACATTTAAAAGAAAATCGATTTATTTCAACAAGAGAGGATAAACTCTCTTGACATTAAGAAAGCAATGATCTAACAAAAGTACACTGACAAAATGCTCCTTTGTGTTCTTGAAAGTTTTCAATTCATAATCAGTGTTAAGCTAACAGTAAAGGATTCAAAACTTCAGCAAACTGAAAACCTCGTCTGGATTCACCTGTCGGAAATAAAACAAGTTGTACTTCGACACGAGCATGATCAAAGCGGAGAAGAACAGAAACGTTAATGAACAGCCGACAAATAATCCTCCTTGTCCTGGTACAATAAAAAAGATAGATTTGAGGACAATTCATGAGTCATTTATTTCCATGGCTAATGGACTAACTATAGTGAAAAAGTAAGTTGTTTTACGAAAAACAGAAAAAACAGTCTTTGCTGCGATCGTGACAAGTGATAAAACAGTAGGTTGATCATTAATCACCTTCTGACGGAGAAAGATGTAAAAGAACTTCAGTGCCATATTACGAAAGACAAACTTAACACACCTTATTGTTATAACACTCCTGCTTTAAAAGAAGCTTTTAGTCCCTTGTTTACAGTGGTAGAGTTTCTGTCACTCATAACCTGAACCCAAACCATGTTCCCTTGAATCAGTATCGAGTTTGGTTTTGTATTTCCACGAGCGTCCTGAGGACGCCTGTGGAAATACAAAGCCAAACGGTCAGGATTGGACAAAAATGGTCAAGTATTGATTTACGATCACTAACTATGATAGATGCCTCAGCGAACTCAACATAATCGTTTATATCGAAGTCTATCTGGACCTTCCGTCCCTCAGGGACGATTAAAATCCACTATTCTGCGTAATCTAAGGGGTAGCTCTCAAGGTCGACTTTTGGTGTGCCAAACTCAATAGTTTTATCTTCGCTTGCATTTAGATAATTTGCTTTACCCCCTGCAAAATAAAATAAGTCTGTTACTACATGAAGAATAAAACGAAATCAATAAAGGTTATATATTTGATAACAAAAAAGGACCAGAATATTATTAAAACAGAATTTTAAAAACGGAATATTAAGAAAAATTCACCCCATTCGACACGCTCTCGATCTTAATGAAGACTCGCTCCATTACATATTAATTTACTTGCCCGACTAACTTAGCTATTAAAACTTGCAAGTAATACAGTGGATGAAGGTTTTATAGTACCATTAAAATGCATATGGTAGAGGGGCGAATCGTCCGGAGATTAGGCGCGTAATTATTGTGAGAACATGGCAAATGACCACTTGCGGGTGGCTTTTGGGTTCTTCAACTCATCGAATAAACAAAAAGGGCTTGATGTGGCTGGAGGAATTAAAGATTGAGCATATTTTTGACTAAGTCGAGTTCATCTAGTTGAGGCTGATAGTAAAGTTTCCGTGTAAACTGAATGCCGGAAAACGATGCGAATTGTCCGGGAGGACAATTGTACGTTCCCTTCTAGCCTCTTCCAATGGGAAAACAACAATAACAAAACAAAACAAAAAAAAAGGAAAAAAGAAGCAAAAGCAAAATATCTCGTTTCATTGTACTCTTCCCCTTAATTTGAACTGTTAAGCCTCAACTTCGTTGCTAATCTTAGTTTTGTTGGGTCAAATCGGCTAAATGGGCTATGACCTCGGGCTTCTTTCCCGATTGCTCTCTGCTCATCTTGCTTTAGTTCATGTACCTCTGTCTGCTCTATAGCTGCAATGTTTACCAACTGATAGGGAGTAAGTTTGCCAATGATCCCCTTTAATTGTTTGGACATAAGACAGTAAAAAACTGGGTCTATTAGATATAGTCAAGGGCTGGTGATAGACTTTCCTCGTTAAATTAAAAGAAATAGACAAAGATTCTTTGGTGGTTTAACTTTTTCAGAAAGTTGCCATTTTTTTTCTCAGCATTTTCGCGATCGGACTTTGTAAAAGTATCATCCAAAACGACATTTTGTCGTTTCACAGTAGTTTTCCAGGAAATTTACCCCAAAACTTGTGTTTTGCTTATCTTCTTGTTGGATTGATGGCCTTTTTTTCGTTTCCTTGTTAGTTGTTTGTTCAGTTATTACTCACGCCCCTGTTCCGGTGTAGCGCTTATTCGAAGCATTCTTCCACATATAGCAAAACTTCATATGCAGTTGGATATCTTGACTGGTCATTGAATTTTTATACCTTTACAAAGCAGTGATTCAAGGTGAAAATTCAAGGGAAGTTCCAGAAAGTCGTTCGAAACTTCTATTATTTGGTAATCTCGTTAAAAAAAATTATTTACATACAAAAGAAGGGCGCACATTATTAGAAAACTACAAAAAAATATTCTGTAGTTAAAGTTTTCTTTTTTTCATTCTTTTTAAGTACGGGGATGGGGGAAAGGTGGGGAAAGGGGGAAGAGGGAGCACGCGCGCTCGCTAGCAGCGCTCGTGGGAAAGAGGAAGCGAATCCTTTGTTCTAACTGACTACCTGAGCGAGGAAGATCGACCTATCTTGCCCAATCGGGATTGCCCGAGCGGAAATAAATTGCTTCGAGGATTTACAGTTTTTGTGATTTTAGGACAATGTCAGCAATGGAGTCTTTAAAAGTGGCATATGACTGTCAGAACAAAGAGAGGATGAACGAGTTTCGTGAGCCTTTTATTGTGCTATAAAAACCTGAAAATATCAAGACTAGAACGTAAAGTGATAAGTCACTATTGATTCTTACTAGGGATACATGTTTGTTATATGATAAATCCTTGATTTACCAAGCTTGTTGGGTCAAGATGGCTGAATGTTATCCCCGTTTTGTTTTGTTTAGCCCAGTTTTTGCTTTTTTATGCAGCTTGACTTCGTCCCAGCCACAAGAATGCAAAAAAAAAGAAAAACAACTGTGACAATGTCCTGCCATCTTGTCCTCACGCTTGGCCAATAACGCATATATACTAAATTACTTTTAAGATGCACATGATGTTTTTCAAGCTTTTTCAAGTTTAAGGGCTTTCACACCGGTTACATTTCGTTTTTCTTGTACTTAATTTATGCATACAAATGAAATCGATTTAGCAATAAAACTGATCCGAAAAACTTTTTAAAAACGCTAAAAAAAACGACAATACGCAGATAAATTCGATCCGCTAACAGCTAAAAATGATCCAAAAGAAAGATTCCCGAGACAAAACTTCACGCTCAAATCCTTGATTTAAAATTTTCAGTCCACCTCAGAGTTAAGCTAAATTCATATGATTCAAAACTTCAGCGATCTAAAGACATCTCCTGGATACACTTGACAGGACTAGAACAAGTTGTTCTTTGACACATGCATGATCAAAGCTGAGAAATGAAGAAGCATCATTGGACGGCTTACAGGCAATCCGCTTCCCCGTCCTGAAAGATAGAAAGATAGATGTAAAAACCATATACAAACCATGCCTTTTTTGTGGTTAGTTGACTAGATAGAGGAAAAACGTTTGCTGTGTATAAAAAACAAATCAAAAATAAAATTCAAAACAAACAAACAGAAAAACCCAAACATTGTCCTGCGGCGATCATGTCAAGTTGTAAAACACTGAGATTATCTACTATGAGTTGAATGAGCTCTACTTTCCAAAGGAAAAGATGTAAAAAAAAACCTACGTGCCGCGTTACTAAAGATAGACATAAAAAAAAACTCATCGATATAACACACCTGCTTTGAAAGAAGCTTTGAATCCCTTGTTTACAGTAGTGGAATTACTGTCACTCAGGAACTGAACCCAAACCATGTTCCCTTGACTCAGTATCGAGTTTGGCTTTGTATTTCCACACAGGCGTCCTGTCAGGATTGGACCAATATCGCCATTGGGATCACCAGCCACGATGGATGCTTCACGGAACTCAACATAATCGTTTTTACAACCCTCACTGTCTTCCAGCTCAAATATATCAAAGTCTATCTGGACATTCCGTCCCTCAGGGACGATTAAAATCCACCGTTCTGCGTAATTTGAGGGGTAGTTCTCAATGTCGACTTTTGGTGTGCCAAACTCAATAGTTTCATCTTCCGTTGCATTCAGATAGTTTATGTCACCCCCTGAAAAATGAAAGTAGTCTGTTACCGCATGAAAAATTAACGAAATCAATAAAAGTTATCAAGAGAATACGTCTGCTTTGATTTGAAAAAATATGCCCGTGTGTAGCAACATTGATTGTCAGGCTCATACCCTGACACAGCTAAGCTTGTGGGTAAATAACCTGTGGTTGGAGGGTGGTGGAGAGTATAAAGCAGCAGGCTTAGGAGGGGTTGTAAATATATGCCGGCTCCAGCCATTGTAAATGGAGGGGGCGGGGCAGCTTAACTTTTAGACCAAAAACGGTAAGCAGAGTAGGTCAGTGGCAGTTGTATGTCCAAAGCCCAGGGGTAGGGAGGGTAGCTTTTGGGGCTTAGGAGGGGTTGCAAATATATGCCGGCTCCAGCCATTGTAAATGGAGGGGGGGAGGGAGTTTAATGTCTAGACCAGCAACGGTAAGCAGGGTGGGTCAGTGGCAGTTGTGTGTCCAAAGCCGCCCAGGGGTAGGGAGGGTAGGTTTGGGACTCCTCAGTCTCAAATTGTAGTTTGCCCGTGGGCTAAAAAGAGCTTCTTAGCTTATTTTGACAAAGTACTGTTTTGCCAGACGGCCGTCAGGCTCATGCCTGACAACTGCTCAGTCAGTGGGCTAAGACATCGCCCGCCCTCCAGCCAGTCTAGCCAATGGAAATGCAGAGAAATTAAGGTCAAGTCAGCACCTACATGCAGCCCAGTTACAGGCCCATTCAAGGGTGGGTTGCAAATGGCTGTAACTTAAGGTCAGCCGGGGTAAGGAGGGCGGGATTTTTTCACCCCACGGTCAACTAGAGCTTTCTCTGAGACTGGAAAGGGCTTGTCTTTCTCATCTTGGTGGTACTCTATTTTGTAGGAGAGGTAGTCTGCCTTGTGCTCCATGGCTGATAAAACTTTAACCATTGGCTGTAGAAGCCATCACCCTACTGAGACCCTCATTGTATAGTTATTACCCACCTGACCTGGACTTGGCTATGAAGGTCAACCTAAATCCTGTGTAATGTGCAGTATCATCCGACACGAAGCGAAGATAGCCCGTCGATCCGACGGTAAATTCAGATCGCCAGTAGACGTTGAAGATATATCCTTGTAAATAGTTGTAACTATTTCGTCCACATAATTTTAACTCCTGGTGCAAAAAGTTGTAGTAATTTCCTCTTTGAAGATAGTCGCACTTACAAGCAGAGCACATTTCTACGTCAACCCTGGGAAAAGTATCACAAACCGATATAACTGGTTTTCACTTCTTACCAACCTTAAGGAGAAAGTAAAGATTGATCTACTGGAGAAGATAAACTACTTTAAATATATTTACAATGTTTTTATCCTTAGTCTGACTGTGTTGGGCCTTAAAAGTCCCGTTACAGGATTGATTGATTACTGGTATAATTGAAATGAGTAAAGTGAAATTTGGTCTGAAATTATACGCGTGATTTCAAAATCGAACAGGCGCGCAGAGCGAGTTTCATTGGTAGTCAAAAGTATGATTTCAGACCAAAATTGCATCACACAGAGTTCAGTAACCACTTTATTACATCCATTTTCAAAACGCAAAATTCAGTCGCTCAAATACAGGATTTTTCAGTTAGTCTGCGAAAATATTATATTGATCCAGTACTGCTTTCTCGTTGGCTTTGGAAAAGATGCGATTAAGAGCAAAAAAGGTGCAATTCGTGATTTAATCGTCGTACCAATGAGAGGAAAGCAGTTTAATTTGCAAGGATCTCCAGCGATTTCCGAATGAGTGAAAGATATTCATAATTATATTGATGATGATTATCAACACAATTATCGGTCATTATCATAACATCAAAATATATACGAAAAGAAATCTGGTAATTGCCCTGGTTACTTGAGTGTTACACCTCAGTCATTTGCAGTTTCATCCACCAAATATCTTTTCAGTCTCGTCCTCTTTTTCTGATTTGATATCGTAATCAGAAGGAAAGAAAACACGCTGACCAAGCAGCTTTCGAAAAAAAATGCCGTGGCTCGAGCATTTTTCCAATATTCTTTCTTCAAAGTGGTTGACACTGCTCTCGCTCTTTTTAAGATCATGCAAGCTACGAGGTTGGAGATGCACCATCTGAAGAATTCGCTTAATTCCGCCGGCGATCATTTTTAAATCCTCTCGGGAACTACTACTATATTTCAGAGGGTTCAAAGGTAATTTTCTGAGTTGTTACGGAATGACTTTGTGATTTTGTTTGTCTCTGCTTTTTAATATCCGTTAAGATATTGATTGACGGCAGCTTGAAATGAAATCGAAATGAAATGTGAGCTTCAGAGTTTGCATGTTACTGACGAGTGTTATACATGGAAACTTACCTGGAAATACGATACTGAATGCCATAATAAGTGTCGGGAACCGTAATCCTCCAACATTTGGTCTCATTCTTACCATAAGTACCTGACTCAGGATATACAAGCTCACCACTGGGAGCTGTGATGTTCGTTATGCCATTGGGACAAACTATTGTGAAGACAGAGAGTAAGTTGAAATATTGACTTCATATCTTACCAAATTGAGAGAACCCATTAGAGATGATCCTGATACGAGGGAGTCACTCGAACACTTAAGTAGAGTGGCAAGTTACTAACTTCCCCGAGAGGTAGATTATTTTATCACTGATACATTTGAATCTAAGTAACTCGAGCCTTTATTGACTCGTAGCTGGTGCGAAATAGAGCTAGAGCGCACTTAATTCCCACAGCGGAGCCTTATATCTAAGGAAATCTGGTGGCTTATCAAGCGAATAAAATTTGGGTTTTGAAGTCATGACCAAATAGTCCATCCCGTCTGTCCATACCTCCCTACAAGAAATTACATTCAGGCTGCACGGCAAGTGGCATTTCGAGCACAAGTCAGGGCATTATATCTCAGATAGGGAATAGGAAACCGAAAAAGGGAAATGCAGAAGAAGGAAAACAGGAGAAATCCCATACAAGCCCATTGCTCGTGTATCAGATGATATGCAATCTAGTAAAGAGCAAAGTAGGAAAGTACTTGTCTCATACTGCTCATTTCGTGATTTACTTTGTGTCCCGAGTAGAATTATTCATTAATGAATAAAGGGGGTAAGTTTCTAAAGAAACTGTGGTGCTGTTTCGGTGGTAAAGTATAACAGGGTAATTAAGTATTATCAACTGAGTTGATAACGTAAATTGACCTCTGTAAAGGATTTAAAAAGCTGACGTTTCGAGCGTTGGCCCTCCGTCTATCGCTCTCACGAAAGGCTGACGCCCGAAACGTCAGCTTTTAAAGTCTTTACGGTGGCCAATTTACGTTATCAACTCAGTTGACAATACTAAATTACACAATTATTCATTGTTTGATTTATTGTTATGAACACGTTGGATGGCAGATTTTTAGCTAACAGCTTGATGAAATCAGGGTAATTACCCGGTGTCGCCCATTTTCTGAATAAGGATGTGCTCCATTTTCTTAAAAATACTGCACTGTGCTTTATAAACATCGGCAGCATCATTATTAGAATTGTCAAACATCAGACAGTCTACACCCGAAAAAACAAATTTTGACATATTTCCAGTCTGAACGACTCTGGTTGGGTGGCATTTCCAATGCTAAGTGTTCCTAAGTCTGTCAAGCAAAGTAGATGCAGCCTCAACTACTTTTTGAAGGTATAGGTGCATAAATACAAACGTGAACACGTGCATTGTATGCCCAGCACGCATTAAACTCTAAACATGATTTTTAAAATCTTCATGTGCAGGCGATTCCCCTTTCAAATGGAATAGCTTAAGCTTTGAAATTTATTAATTGTGACCCTCCGCGGGATTTCAGGGAATAAGGTGAACGCACGCTCACGGTACACTAGCACGCTAAAACAAAAGAACGAGCTTTTAACACGTTAGTTGCGTGTAAGTTACTGGCCTCATTAACTTTGTAGCCATTGTCTTGCTTCGCACGGTAGAAACAAAGAAACGTGTTAAGATCTTGCTCGCAAATTTGCACGATATAACACCGTGACCGTGCCAATTTTATAACACGCCTCTTAGCTCGTAAGATGCCAAAATCGGCGTACAACAGATAATACTCGGCTTCGCTTGGAAAGCTTTGTTTTACGCCGGCTAGCTAACGGTTATTTATTTTAAAAATGCTGGTTTGCATAGAGTAACGAACAGCGACCGCGTAGGGGACATGGAGCCGAAAATTCTTTGCTAAAGGATTCACAAAGATTCGGTACTGGGCTTATTAACTTCGTGAAGCGATAAGGATTTATATTTTACAAGGTTAGAATAAAGTTTCATGTGTTCAAACTGAGCTCCCCTGGACCTTGCGAAACACGTCGTGCTCGCTGAATTCCTTGAAGGAAAGAGCCGTGATTTGCCGTAAATGTTTCCTTTTTTATCACAACTTTCGGATAGAACAGAAGATCTTCTTCATTTTCGCTTATATTCTATAGGTAATAACCTTTACAAACACCAATCTCACAATAATTTATTAAGAAGCTGACAAACACAAGTAACAAAGTAAGCTGGGTTGTACAAGATAAGCTAGCGTGTTAGGGAACAAAGGAACTTAGCGTGTTAGAAAAAAAAAAAAACGATCTAACGTGTTATAGAAACAAAGCTCCATCGTGTTAGCCAGATATGAACAATGGCTACAACACGCTTTCCAAAATCAATTGTTTTTATGCGCATATCTGCACGGTAAGCGTGTCATGACGTTAGCGTGCGAGCGTGTTATAACGTGCCGTGTGCGTGCGTTCACCTTATTCTCTTAGAGGCCTTGTTTAGTACAGTGTGACGTCGCGTTGTATCTGCTTGAACTTTACACTCGAGTTTGCATTAACTTTGAACTCGCGATTAGTGCCAAAAACTTGTGAATATCATCGAGGTTGTAATCAATATCTTTCTGCTATTAATTACAATAATTAAAAACGCGTTTGTTGGATTGAAGAACTGTTGATATTGGAACCAATAACAAGTATATTATAAACTGAATACATTTACAATGAATTCGCATTTTATACAGAAACAATAAGGGTTTCAAACTTACTTGAATCGCATTGTCCTTTTCCAAAGAATAGTAATAAAACTGAAACAATAAAAAATTCATGAGACATAAACTAAACTTTAAAAATGCAGGAGGTGGCCATATAGACTGGTTTTTGTTTGCACTTTTTTTTAATGACGCTGTAAGAACCCTGGCGAGAAGCAAGATAAAACAATGGGACATTATTTTCTCTTGTCTAGAAGAGATTGGAACGCGACAGGGTTTTGATCGCAAAAGAGAAAAAATAAACTAAGAGGAAAAAATAACCGGAGATGAAATAAAACACAAAATGAAATGCAAATGACTTCGAAACTAAAATTTGCTTCCCCAAATGAAGGCAAGATACTACACAACCATTTTCATTAGGTGCAGCGCAAGGGAAGCTCAGCGTCTGCATAACAATCGCCCTGAGGCCATAATTTCTCGGCTGCGTTGTTTCTGGATGTTTCTAAAACAAGTATTTCTTTCTCTTATTGATTTCATAAGTGAATGGACCTCCGTGTATTTTTTACAGTTTATGAGGACTTATTAGACCCAGCAAATCAAAATGAAACTGGCTAAAAGGATTTAATTCAATTCAAATGCTATCAGGTTAACAATAGTACTCTTGACTCCTTGCTAAAGTTGAGCAGGATGCAGTTGCGAATGGGTTTGCGAATGCCCTTTCAAATCTATAAGCGAGCTGGCACTGTTCGATTCCTGTCACATTGTCACAAAGATTTATAGGCTAAAAACATAAAGGAAAATCAAAATCAAAAGAACTTAACTTGAAGGCGGGAAAAATGATTCAGGTGTGTCGCTCTCTGGGAAATTAGGATGTTTTGATACACGAAGGATGAACAGCTTACCAATGACAGAAGCAGTTATAGTGAGTGGGTTGGATTTGAATACTCCCATTCTTCCACACCGTAAATTTCCTCAGTTTATAACAGTAAAATATCAGGATTCACTGAGCTGAGTACGACAAAGACCAGCGTGGTTGGTAAGATAACAGTGACCTTATCGAAATATGTTTAACATATTGATCACAATTTTCCATTGTCTATAACCTAATATAGACATCAATGATCCACTTTCCCACGCGACGCAGTCGAGTGGTTTCATTTCAAAGTTTTGAACATTTGCATTTTTTTAATTTTTTCCAATTGTTTTTACAAGATTATTTTTTTCTCCGACGTGGCGAGGGTTCTATTACATGGAACGTTATTTTCATTGTCTATAACCTTATTGACAATTGTTCTCGACGGGAGAGAGAATTTCGACAGTTAGGCCCGAGTCGTACCACAGTTTTTTTCGCACCACAGTTGTTTTTTTTTGTTTAAGAAAAAAATTGTTAAAAAGTAGCGAAAAATAAGTGCGACCGTATTTGAAAAACTTGCCAAAGTTTTGCAAATTGCCAAATTTTCGCTAATTTTCAAAGGAACCGATGTCTCACCTCGGAGGCTTCCAACATTAATTTAACTCTCGGTATTGCACGGCATTACGAGAAATTTTCCAACTGAGGCCATAATTTCTCAGCTGCGCTGTTTCTGGATGTTTCTAAAACAAGCATTTCTTTCTCTTATTGATTTCATAAGTGAATGGACTTCCGTCTATTTTGTACGGTTTATTAGAACTTATTAGACCCAGATAATCAAAATGAAACTAGCTAAAAGGATCTAATTCGCTTTAAATACTACCAGGTTAACGAAAGTACTCTTGACTCCTTGCGAAAGTTGAGCACGATGTATGCTGTTTCGAACGGGGTTTGCGAACACCCTGTTAAATTTATAAGCGAGCTGTTCGATGCTTTTGACATTATCATAAAGATTTCTAGGCTAAAAGACATAAAGGAAATGAAAATCAAAAGAACTTAACTTGAAAGCGGGAAAAATTATACTAGGTTATCGCTCAGTGGGAAATTAGGATGTTTTGATGCTTGAGGGATGAACAACTTTAGCAATGACAGAAGCAGCTGTAATGATTTCGTTGGATTTAAATTCCCCCATTCTTCCACGCAGTAAATTTCTTCAGGTTAGAGCAGTAAAATATCAGAATTCACTGAGTAGAGTACGACAAAGGCCTGCGTAGTTGGTAAAATAACAGTGACCCTATCCAAAGATTTTTAACATATTAACCACAATTTTCTATTGTCTATAACCTTATTGATCGTAGAAATGACGTCAACGATGAACGTAACCACGCGGTGCAGTCGCCTAGTTTCGTTTCAAAGTTTTGAACATAAGCATTTTTTTTTAATTTTGCAATTGTTTGTACGAGATAAATTTTTTCTCTGACATGGCGAGGGTTGTATTACATGGAACGTCATTTTCATTGTCTATAACCTTATTAAAAACAGTTCTCGACCAATGGGAGGGAGAATTTCTACAGTTAGGCCCGAGTCGCACCAGAGCTTTATTTTTTGTTCAAGAAAAAATTTTTAAAAAGTAGCGAAAAATTAATGCAACCCCGTATTTGAAAAACTTGCCAAAGTTTTGCAAATCACCAAATTTTCGCTAGTCTTCAAAGAAACCGATGTCCTTCCTCGGAAGCTTCCAAATTTTGGCAAAACAAACATTCCTGTTTTAGCCATTTAACCCTTGGTGTTGCACGGCATTACGAGGAATTTTCAAACTGAAAATGAAGAGGATATTTTTGATAAATAAAGTTACAACATTAGGTCGCTTTATTACTCAAAGAGTTTTTCATATTCCATAGATTTACTGCTGCCATGATACTTGCAAATTTCTATATGACATTGCAAAGGTCACTGTAGCGGTAGAAAATTTCCCACACACACACAAATAGTAAACAAGTCAGACAGTTATGATTACTCACAGACTCAGAGCTAATCGAAAAGTACAAGGTTTCGGTCATTTTCTTAAACGCGAAATTCCAACAATTGCAAAAATCCTCATTCCGCACGTATCTCAAATTGATCGGCTGAACTGTTTACATGCGAAGAAATTTACTTGAAACTGCTGACTGATCGCTCTTTCCAAGATGCTTCACAACAATTGAACGCACTAGTGTTTAGGGTGCTGGGATACCGTGACAGCACCGTCGTGACAGCGCCGCTTTCATATAAATGTCTCTAATCCGTACCTGGGTCTGGTTACACTGGAAGCAGTGATGTGGACAATACATGAATTCAACCAAAAATTCTCCTTCCGTTGCAAGTATTGAAGCCAGCACAAGTAGCGCCAGTGTCAACCAAAGCGCAAAAGATCAGTAGGAAAATAATCATATCAAAGATCTTCAGCTGTCAGGAAAACAACGCCGAGGAAGATATTGATTTTATCAATATGCCGTCGCAAATTCCGTTCTCAGACAATAATTTTTTTTAGTTTTCACGTCGTTGTTTTCCAAGAGGATGGCTAAAAATTTACAAAGGTTTAGAACGCTCATCCTGCGCTATTTTTCTGACCATTAGATCAGAAAAAAAAGGTCCCTTAAATTAACGAGGGTATCATTAATCTAAGTAAATATTTCACCTGCTTAGTAGCGTGCAACGTAGAAGGAGATCGTAATAGAGAGGATCGCTCCCCAACCCCACTATCACAACGGCTGCAATGAATGAGCTTTCAGCTGAGCATAACTCGACTTCTAGTGACGATAAGATAATCTTTTAGTGCGGGTGATTTCTATTCAATAGGTTTGTTTCTAAGATTAAAGGCCACAATGAAAATTGTCAGTCTTTGACATTATATGCCTTTGAGTTTATATAATTCTTCTGTTATAATCAAATCATTCATTAATTATTTTTAACGAATCATTTCCACATTTAATCCATTATGTTTTGATTGAGGAGATTCTTCGTGACAAAATGAATGGCTGAGCTAAAAAAAAAAAAATGGGAATAAAACACATTCCCAATACTTCTGATACTGGTGGCTTGACAAATGGTATTTACGACTGGGCTTCGCTCAACCTCTGAAAATTACTGCGATGTTAAATTGACTCTAAACCCTTGCGGGTTAGCCGAATTTTTTTTTTTTTAAGTCGAAATTTTAAAACGCGCGCGAATAGACGTGAACTTTCTAGCGGCCTTTGCGCATCAAACAGCTTCACCGGGAGATCCTATTTCAATTCAACTTTGTTTACATTCACGTTTGAGTCCTTTATTTTTGGAGAGTACATGCAAAAAAGAGAGAAAAAAAACTGTGACAATATCCTGCCATCTTCTCCTCACGCTTGGCCAATAATGCTTATCTACTAAATTATTTCAAAGATGCACATAATGTTGTTCAAGCTTTCTTAAGTCTAAGGGCTTTCAAACCGTTTAAATTTTGTTTTTATTGTACTAAATTTATGCAGATGAAAAAAAAAAAAATACGACGCACGGATAAATTCGATCCGATGAGAGATAAAAACGATCTGAAAGAAAGATTGGGACAAAGACGGGACAAAACTACACACTCAAAATCCTTGATATTGAAAATTTTAAGTCGACAATCAGAGTTTACCAAAATGCATATAATTTAAAACTTCAGCGAACAAAAGACATCTCCTGGATACACTCGACAGGACTACAACAAGTTGTTCTTTGACACATGCACGATCAAAGCTGAGAGAAAAAGAAGCACCATTGGACGGCTTACAGGCAATCCGCTTCCCTGTACTAAAAAATGAGAAAGATTGAAAGATTGATGTAAAGACTACATACAAATCATTCCTTCTTATGGTTAGTTGACAAGAGAGGAAAAAATTTTGCTGTCTCTTAAAAAAAAAAACAAAGACAAAATTAAAAAACAAACAAACAGAAAAACTCAAACATTGTCCTGCGGCGATCATGTCAAGTCATAGAACACTGAGATTATGTATTAAGAATTGAATGAGCTCTACTTTCCAAAGGAGAAAGATATAAAAGAACTTACGTGCCGCGTTACGAAAGACAAACCTAACACGCCTGATTGTTGTAACACACCTGCTTTAAAAGAAGCTTTGAATCCCTTGCGCACTCTGGTAGAATTTCTATCACTCGCGAACTGAACCCAAACCATATTCCCTTGACTCAGTATCGAGTTTGGCTTTGCATTTCCACACAGGCGTCCTGTCAGGATTGGACCAAAATGGCCATATATTCTTTTACGATCACCAACTGTGATGGATGCTTCACGGAACTCAACGTAGTCGTTTTTGCAATCCTCGCTGTCTTCCAGTTCAAATATGTCGAAGTTTATCTGGACTTTCCGTCCCTCAGGGACGATTAAAATCCACTGTTCTGCGTAATTTGAGGGGTAGTTCTCAATGTCGACTTTTGGTGTGCCAAACTCAATAGTTTCATCTTCGCTTGCATTCAGATAGTTTATGTCACCCTCTGCAAAATGAAAGTTGTCTGTTACCACATGAAAAATTAAAAGTTATCAAGTGAATACGTCTGCTTTGATTTGAAAAAATAAGCTCGTGTCTAGCAACACTGATTGACAGGCTTATACCCTAAGCTTGTGGGTGAACACCCTGTGGTTAGTTTGCAGGATTGGTAGTCAGGCTTGTGACCTGTTACACTTCAGCCACTGGACTAAGACTCCATGGCTGATAAAATTTTAACTGTTGGCTGTAAAAGCCATCACCTCATTAAGACCCTCTTTGTATGGTTATTACCCACCTGTCCTAGACATGGCTATGAAGTTCAACTTAAATCCTGTGTAGTGTACAGTATCATCCGACACGAAGCGAAGATAGACCGTCGGTCCAGCCAAAATCTCGCCAGTTGTCCAGTCGACGTTGACGATATATCCCTGTAAATAGTTGTAACTATATCGTCCACATTCTTTAAACCGCTGGTTCAAATAGCTGTAGGAAGTTTCTTTTTGAAGATAGTCGCACTTACAATCAGAGCACCTTTCTATATCAATCCTGGGGAAAATATCACAAGGCGATATAACTGGTTTTCAGTTCTTACCAACCTTAAGGACAAAGTGAAGATTATCTACTGGAGAAGATAAATTACTTTAAATACATTAACAGTGTTTTTATTCCTAGTCTGACCGTGTTGGACCTTAAAAGTCCCGATACAGGATTGATTGATTACTGATATAATTGAGATAAATAAAGAGCAATTTGGTCTGAAATCATACTCGTGATTCCAAAATCGCACGGGCGCGCAGCGCGAGTTTCATTTGAAGTCACAACTATGATTTCAGACAAAAATTTCACCACACAGAGTCCAGTTACCACTCTATTACACCCATTTTCAAAACGCAAAATTCAGTCGCTCAAATACAGGATTTTTTTAGATAGTCTGCACAAATATTTTATTGATACAGTTCTGAGCTAACTCGTAAAAAGTTACAAAAGTTGTCTTTCATTTTCCAGAAATTTGATTGGTAACTTTATAAAGAAGCCTTGAAATCTGATTGGTTGTTGTGTTTCAGTAAAGCCTTCTCATTGGCTGGGAAAAGATGCAATTAAGAGCAAAAAAGGGTGCAATTCGTGATTTCATCGCATCAATGAGAGCCAAGCAGTTTGCATGGATCTCCAATGATTTCCAAATGAGTGTGATAAAAATAGTTATATCTATTTTGATGATGATTATCAACATAATTATCAGTCATTATCATAACATCAAAAAAAAATACGAGAGGCAATCTGATAATTGCGCCGGTTACTTGAAGAGTTACAATTCAATCATTTGCAGTTTTACCCATGAAATATTTTTTTTTTTATTCTCGTCCTCTTTTTCTGATTTGGTATCGTAATCAAATGGAAAGAAACCCACGCTGGCCATGCAGCTTTCAAAAAAAATGACGAGGCTCGAGCATTGTTCAAATATTCTTTCGTCAAGATGGTTGACACTTCTCTCGCTCTTTTTAAGAGGATGCAAGCTATGAGGTTGGAGATGCGCCATCTGAAAAATTCGCTTAATCTCGCCGGCGATCATGCATATTTATATCCTTTCGGGAACTAACACCATATTTCAGAGGGTTTAAAGGTAATTTTCTGAGTTGTTATGAAAATACTTTGGGATTTTTTTTGTCTCTGCTTTTAGATGTACATTAACATGAAGCTTGACGGCAACATCAAATGAAATTGAAATGAAGTGTGAACCTCAGAAGTTTGCATGTTACTGACGAGTGCTATACATGGAAAACCTACCTGGAAAAATAAAATAGAATGAGATAATAAGTGTCGGGGACCGTAATGCTCCAACATTTGGTCTCATTCTTACCATAAGTACCTGACTCAGGATATTCAATCTCACCACTGGAAGCTGTGATGTTCGTTATGCCATTGGGACAAACTATTACGAAGACAAAGAGTAAGTTTAAATGTTGACTTCATATCTCACCCAAAATTGAGAGAATCCATGAGAGATTATCGTGATACGACGAAGTCACTCGAACTCTTTAGTGGAGTGGCAAGTTGCTAACTTCCCCGAGAAGTAGATTGTTTTTATCACTGATTCATTTAAATCTGAATACCTCGAGCCCTTACTGACTCGCAGCTGATGCGAAATAGAGCTGGAGCGCACTGAATTCCTTCAGCAGAGCCTTATATCGAAGTCAAATCTGATTGCTTATCAAGCGAATAAAATTTGAGTTTTGAAGTCATGACCAAATAGTCCGTTCCGTCTGTCCATACCTCCATACGAGAAATTACATTCAGACTTCACGGTAAGTCGCATTTCTAGCACAAGTCAGGGCATTGTATATAGGGTAGGGAATAGGAAACCGAAAAAGGAAATGTAGAAGAACGAAAACAAACTCGTGTATCAGATGATATGCAATCTAGTAAAGAGCAAAGTAGGAAAGTACTTGTCTCGTATTGTTCATTTCGTGATTCACTGCGTATCCCGAATAAAATTATTGATTTATGAATAAAGGGGGTAAGTTTCTAAAGAAACTGTGGTGCTGCTTCGGAGGGAGAGTATAATAGGGTAATTTAATCGCTCTGACGAAGGGCTGAAGCTCGAAACTGTAGCTTATAAACTCTTTACGGCGGCCAATTTACGTTATTAAGTCAGTTGATAATACTAAATTACACAATTATTGATTGTTTGATTTATTGTTTTGAAAACTTTGGATGGCAGATTTTTAACTAACTGCTCGATGAAATCAGGGTAATTACCGAGTGTCGCCCATTTTCTGAACAAGGATGTTCTCTATTTTCTTAAAAATACTTCACTGTGCTTTATAGACATCCAAATTTTGACATATTTCCATCAGTCTAAACGACTCTGGTTGAGTGGGATTTCCAGTGCTAAATTTTCTTAAGTCTGTCAAGCAAAGTAAATGCAGCCTCAATTACTTTTTGAAGGTGTAGGTGCACGTGAATGTGTGCATTGTATGCCCAGCATGCATAGAATTCTAGACATGATTTTTCAAATCTAAATGTGAAAGTACGTCTGCAGGCGATTCCCCTTTTTAAATGAAATAGCTTAAGCCTTGAAATTTATCACTTCCTAAAGGCCTTATTTAGTATAGTTGACGTCGCGTTGTACATGCTTGAACTTTAGACTCGAGTGTCATGTTTGCTTTAACTTTGGACTCGCGATAAGCGCGAAAAACTTTTGAAGATCGTCGAACTGAGAGAAGGTATTAAGGTTGTAGTCGATATCTTTCTGCTATTAATTACAATCGCTAAAAACGTTCGTTGGGTTGAAGAACTGCTGATATTGGACTCAATAACAAGTATATATAAACTGAATACATTTACAATGAATTTGCATTTTATACCGAAACAGTAAGGGTTTCAAACTTACTTGAATCGCATTGTCCTCTTTCAAGGAATAGTAATAAAACTGAAACAAGAAAACATTCATAAGACATTAGACTGAAAAAATATGCAGGAGGGGGCCATATAGACTGGTTTTTACTTGTACTTTTTTTTAATATAATGCAGCAAGAACCCAGGCGAGAAGCAACAGAGAACAATGGGACATTATTTTCGCTTGTCCGGAAGAGGTTAGGACGAGACAGGGTTTTAGTCGCCAAAGAGAAAAAATAAACTAAGAGGAAAAATAACCGGAGACGAAATAAAACACAAAATGAAATACAAATGAATTCGAAACGAAAATTTCCTTCCCCAAATGAAGGCAAGTTATTATTTAACCATTTTCATTAGGTGCAGCGCATGAGAAGCTCGGCTCTGCAAAACAATCGCCCTGAGTTTAAGAAACGAGGACAGCGACGCCGTCGACAACGTTGGTTAAAAGATGAACATATATTTTACCTACGAATCGCGCGATACTCTAAAGTCATTTAATTTGTTTCTCGCCGTAAAAACTATCACGAAAACTGAAAATGGAACACAGCGTTAAATTTGAAATAGAAATTCAAAAACTTAGCCATCGCCGTTCACGTTCTCCAGACAACACGAAGTTTGATCATTTCACGTTGTTGTTTTGCAGAGGACGCACAGAAATTTACGAAGGTTTATAACACACGTGCACAGCCATTGTTGTGTTCCTGAAACTCGTTTCTTATTGAGGTTCCAGTTGCCGTTGCCGTCGTGGTTTTCCTAAACTCATTTACGTTTCGGCTGCACTGTTTCTGGATTTTTGTTAAAACAAGCATTTCTTTCTCTTATTGATTTCATTCATGAATGGACCTTCGTGTATTTTGTATACTTATCAGACCCAGCAATTCAAAATTAAATAAGCCAAAAAGATGTAATTCACTTCAAATATTACCAGGTTAACGAAAGTACTCTTGAATCCTTGCTAAAGTTGAGCAGGATGTATGCGGTTTTGAACGGGGTTTGCGCATCGCCCAGAAATCTATGAGCGAGCTGCCAGATCCTTAACACATTGTCAATAAGATAAACAGGCTAAAAGACATAGAGGAAAATCAAAATCAAAAGAACTTAACTTGAAAGCGAGAAAAATGATTCAGGCGTGTCGCTCTCTGAGAAATTAGGATGGTTAGATACATGAAGGATGAACAACTTACCAATGACAGAGGCAGCTGTAATGAGTTGGTTGGATTTGAATACTCCCAT